GTCTGTGTCTGTGTGTGTGTGTGTCTGTGTGTGTCTGTGTCTGTGTGTGTCTGTGTGTGTGTGTGTCTGTGTGTGTCTGTGTCTGTGTGTGTCTGTGTGTGTCTGTCAGATTGGCGACCTCACCTTTCTACACTGCCTTTAAACCCAACAGCTTGGTCACTGATTCGCCCCAGCCTATGAGTTAGACAATTGAGAAACAGCTGCTCATTGATAAGGTCATCACTCTGCTCTCTCCTCTTGTCAACAAGGTTTGCAGTGTTAAATTGACAGCACTGTATGTGATACAGCCTGATATTCTTGCAAAGCAAGGAATTATACGCACATAGTATAGGGACAGATGAGAAAACGTAAATTATTTGCAATTAAAATATGTTTATATTTTGTTAAGGAATTAACTTCTGGATTAAATGGTGATAATTTATATTTGCCCAGACTAAACTTTAAGGCCATTCACACCATATGCAGATCAGATCAAGACCGTTACGTTTTTCTCTCGCACCAAAAATGCATCCTAATGTATTTGTATGGGATTTTTGGGCCCTGTTCACACCAGTTCAGTCCTTCCGGTGCAGAGAAAAAAAAAACTGCATGTCACATTTTCTCTGCACTGGAACGCGCAAAAACGCCTCAAACTCACTGGACCGCACAAGAATGCAACAGAATGAATAAAAATAAAGGGGGGGCTTTGGATAAATAACACATATTACCTGTGAATAGACATACGAGTGAATGAAAAAAACTTTTCTGGATGTGCCCGCAAGTCCTCGTATAAAGTCCAACATTCTTAGCTTCAAGAGTGGGTGCACCACTCAACAGTGTCTCCTGCGAGCACGTTATCTCAGGATTGCAATAACCATCACAAAGAACATGCCTGCATACAAATAAAAACATGTCTTTTCACCAGGGTTCTCACACAAACAAAGGGAAGTGCTACGAAATGAAGCAGAAAGTAACCTCCGAGAATAATCTGTATAATGACAGCCCAAAAAAACCCAAAACACTGAAACTCACCGGAGCGCATCAAAAACGCTTTACAAATGCAGGGCACCATGTTTGCAGAGATGCGTGCAGATCTGGTCGGGACCCTTATGATTCTAACGCATGAGTCAAACCTTTTCTGTGATGGATATAGAACATGAGGTATACAGAATTGGCAGTCTAAACTGACTGTCACACCTAAGTTAAACAAGAAGTTACATTTCTCCACTATAACACACTACTTGTCAACTCCGCAAAATTCAATTTTTGTAAAGCCAATAAACATTTGCTTTGCAGACAAACAATTTTTCTTTAAAAGAAAAAAACACAAAACAGGGAAACTGTTTTTATTTTTACTTGTCCATGTTTTATTTCTGATATAGTGGGTTTTTTTGTTGGAAAGTTACTTGTATACTCTGCGGTCAAAGTCTTGAATGGCCTCTCTCAACCTTTCTGATGTGGGCACATGTGAATTTCTGACGGTGAAGGGACTTTGTATTCACAAATATTTTCTTTTATTTGCTTTCCTGTCATAAATTTTCCATTTTCTAAAATAGCTTACAACTCACTATTTAAATGTGGAGAAAAAAAAGACTAAGAGGGAATGGGAAAGGTCAAGGACGAATGAGGTTGGGACAGATATACACAGAGGAAGGAACGAAGGAAGGACAGATGGGCACAGTATATGGAATTGAAAGAACACTCCAGTCCAATGAAACATTTTTTTTTTAAAAGTACATTAAAAGTGAATAATAGGAAACGGCTTGTCTGGAAATAACGAATAGAAGAAAATGTAAAAAATATGATGAATGCAAAACATACCGCCTACCTTTAACTTCTTTTTCATTTACTTTCATTCAGATATGTCATTACCTTATTGTCTCACAAGACCATCTCTGTGTTTTCCAGGATGGAGGCCTCCTGCTTGGAGCTAGCACTAGAGGGTGAGCGCTTGTGCAAGGCCGGAGATTTCAAAGCTGGAGCCGCTTTCTTTGAAGCAGCTGTCCAGGTTGGGACTGAAGATCTAAAGACACTTAGTGCCATCTACAGTCAGCTGGGGAATGCATACTTCTACCTGAAGGAGTACTCTAAAGCTCTTGAGTATCATAAACATGACTTGACCCTGGCCAGGTGAGGGAATGATTTTGGCTAAACATGTTTCGGTAATATACAATGACCAATTACAAGGAGGCGAGTGAATAGAAACCACTAAAATACCATGAAGAACAGCATTGTCTTCTTAAAACTGGAAGGATTTCATCATTCTTTTAATGCAGAGCCCCAAAAGATGACCAATTAAAGTGCATGTATTTCGTTTTTTAGATAAAATAACCCTGCCAGGTTATTTTTGGAAAAAAATCCCTTTTACTTTCTGTGAAGGGAACTCCAATCATAGTTGTCCCCAGAACATTTGCCCCCACTGGAAATTGTCCCCTTACCTTTTGCCTAAAACTAAATTAAATGTTTTGCCTAGAAATACACCATGATAGTGTGTAAAACTGCAATGTATTTCTTGTCACTGTTTTCTGTCTCAATGTCCAACTGTCTATCCAGAGTCGCTGGTTTGTAATCACAATACAGCCCTAAATATAAAGCCATTTATCCAACTGTCCTTCCAGAATGGCTGGTATAGAACATAAATATAGAGCCATAATTTAACAGTTCAGACAGTTGTTTAAAGCCCAGATATAGGTTAAATATAGAAATATTTATCCAACTGTCCCTCCAGAACCACTGAATTGTGGCATAGATACAGCCAGACAATAGAGCAATCTTATCAAACTATCCATTCACACTCACTGGTTTATAGCACAGATACACCCTAACTATAGGGTAATTTATCCAACTGTCCCTCCGGAACCACTGAATTATGGCATAGACACAGCCAGACAATATAACAATTTTATCAAACTATCCATTCACACTCACTGGTTTATAGCACAGATCGGGCCTAAATATGGAGCCATTTATCTAACTGTCTATCCAAAACCACTGGTTTATATCTAGAATACATCTTAAATATAGAGTCATTTATCTAAGTGCCCATCCAAAACTGCAGGTGGATAGCTCAGATACAACAACATAATTATAGAGCTATTTATTCAACTTACCTATATTTATTTTAGGCTTGCTGGCTCTCGCTAGTTCAGATAAGACATAATGAGGGGAATTTATCAAAACTGGAGCAGACAAAATCTGGAGCAGCTGTGCACAGTGACCAATCAGCTTCTCTCTTTCATTTTCAAAGCTTAACTGAACAACTGAAGAGAGAAGCTGATTGGTTGCCCAGGGCAACTGCTCCATATTTTATCTGCTCCAGTTTTGATAAATTCCCCTTAATGACTTGCATGGAATCAGACATGGAACAGTTATATAATCATCCTACCTGTTCATATGCACCCAATTCTCCTAAAGGAAACATTTATACTGTTCTGATCTCAAATACAAGCATGCATTTCAGAGGCCGGCTTTCTTACAAAGTGATGTACAGTTTTGAAGAATACAATGTTGCAGATTATCTGGTATCATATTCAATGGGAAATAATTTAGTAGGAAATTCACAGGGCAAGTGAACAGTATACTTCCAAAGTACCATAGATTTCAGTACGGTAAACTGTACCTGTTTGTAGCTCACTGTAGAATTTTATGACCATATACAAATAAAGGAATAATGATCTTGATAAGTCTCATTGTTGCATGTTTTTTGGAATAGTATAGAATCCACTGTTACATTGTTGCAGGATTATAAATAATAGGCATAATCCCATTAAATTGTTGCATTTTATTTGACAATGAGTACAGTACATTGACGACAATTGCCATGAGTGCAGTATTATATCACATTTTCACTTTTCAGCAGTAACGTATCATGTCTTGTTGCTGTAGGTCCATCGGCGATCGTATTGGAGAAGCCAAAGCCAGCGGGAACCTGGGCAATACCCTTAAGGTCCTTGGACAGTATGATGAGGCCATCGCCTTTGTGTCTATGTGTGTCTGTGTCTGTGTGTGTCTGTGTCTATGTGTGTCTGTGTCTGTGTGTGTCTGTGTGTGTCTGTGTCTGTGTGTGTCTGTGTGTGTCTGTGTCTATGTGTGTGTGTGTCTGTGTGTGTCTGTGTCTGTGTGTGTCTGTGTCTATGTGTGTCTGTGTCTGTGTGTGTCTGTGTCTGTGTGTGTCTGTGTCTATGTGTGTCTTTGTCTGTGTGTGTGTGTGTGTCTGTGTGTGTGTGTGTGTCTGTGTGTGTCTGTGTCTATGTGTGTCTTTGTATGTGTGTGTCTGTGTCTGTGTGTGTCTGTGTGTGTCTGTGTCTATGTGTGTCTGTGTCTGTGTGTGTCTGTGTCTATGTGTGTCTGTGTCTGTGTCTATGTGTGTCTGTGTCTATGTGTGTCTGTGTCTATGTGTGTCTGTGTCTATGTGTGTCTGTGTCTATGTGTGTCTGTGTCTGTGTGTGTCTGTGTGTGTCTGTGTCTATGTGTGTCTGTGTCTGTGTCTGTGTGTGTCTGTGTGTGTCTGTGTGTGTCTGTGTCTATGTGTGTCTGTGTCTGTGTGTGTCTGTGTCTGTGTGTGTCTGTGTCTATGTGTGTCTGTGTCTGTGTGTGTGTGTGTGTGTATTGTGTTTTACAGCCGCTACCGATATGCTTGTAACTAAGTGGCATTCTTGTCATTACAATGGAGGTGTTGCGTGGTGTGCTGGTGACATTACAGCCGCTAGTCACCTTTGTGGACTGGGAGGGACTCCGGGGTTCTCACATTGGTTTCCCTTGTTGGCCGGCGAGTGTCAGCTCGGTGACAACAAGCTGAAGAGGGTTTGATTTCTGAGAGGGTTTTACCTACGGTGACATCATCCTGAAAGCATCCAATCTCAGAGTCAGAGCTGGTTAGAATCTGGCGGGGAGACTGCCTGGGAATATCCGGTGATGTTGGTTTCCTCACTTTTTGGGCGGCAGGTGCCACCTCAGCATGGACAAGTTGAAGAGGCTTGATTGAGGATCATGCTGTTGCCTATGGTTACATAACCCTGAAAGTGCCTGATCTTGCCTAATTTCTGAGGCTAAGTGGATTTGGCCCTGGTTAGGACAGGTATAACCCAAGTGCTCCCTTTTTGGCAGAAAGGTGCCTGCTCGGCAATGACAGATTGAAGAGGGTTGATTGAGGTGTAGGTTGTTGCCTAAAAGTCACATGATCCAGAAAGTGCTCAATTTTGTCTGATCTCGGAAGCTAAGCAGTGTTGGAGCCGTTCAGCTTGTGGATGGAAGACTTCAGAATACCCGGTGCTGTAAGATTTTTTTTTTTTTGGTTTCCTCCCTTTTTAGCAGGTGGTTGCCAACTTGGCAACGTCAAGTTAAAGAGATTGAAATGAGGCTAGCGTTGTCACCTACAGCCACATCACCTTGGAAGAGCCCGGTCTCATTTGATCTTGGAGGCTAAGCACTGTCAGGACTGGTTAGTAGGGGGATGGGAGACCGCCGCCTGGGGTTACCAGTTCTGTAGGTTTTTGGTTTGGGTTTGCTCCCTTCTCTGTAGGTGGTTGCCAGCTCACCAATTGCATGTTGAAGAGGGTTGATTTAAGCAAGGGTTGTTCCCTTCGGCCATGTCACCATTATTGCCTGATTTCAGACGCTTAGCAGAGTCACTTCTGTTAGTACTTGGAAGAGAGACTGAGTGGGAATACCAGGTGTGGAAGGGTCTCTGAAGAAGTCCCGTTCGGGAAGGTAATGCATTAGTGCTAAGGGTGGTGACCCTGATGTGGTACCACGGTTCCCAGTTGTCCTGTGCTTGTGCTTGGATATGTGCCATGGAGGAGCTGACATAGAACTACAAAAAGGGATTATAGAGACATGGATATGTGAGGAACTTAAATCCATCAATAAATACATATGTGGATGCTATGTGGCTTACACCTGCTGGCTGAGTAGGGGAGTACTGAAGTCTGACCACAGGTGTATGGACATGCAGCTACTAACGTATGAGACATCCTCATTGTAATGCAGTAACAGCCTGCGGGATCAGAAGCCTTATCTATGTATCGTCACACTATATGGCTCATAACACCTACAGGCCAGCTGGCTGAGTAGTAGAATACTGGAGTCTGACTACATTCTTAGTGCTATGAGCTGGTCTGTATCTGCACATAAACAACCAGATGTATGAAGTGTGGACACTGATAACTGGATATGAAAGAGGGAGACATACATCCTGCATTTGATTGGGTACACGTGTCTGTTGAGTGATGGAGGATATGTGACTCTATGCCTCATATACCGCCAATCATGTGCAACGTTTCATCAGATATCTTTATGTAAGTACCAATGGCCATAATGGAATGGGAGTATCATGCTGGGGAGTACAACTATGAGATGCATTAAGCTACGTCTGTTGTAAACATACTTTATATATGTGGAAAGGTTGTCTCCACCATTTAAGGATTCATTAGGGCATGGCATTCATGATGACTATGCTTTGGAATATCTATCTTTATTATGAGGGTGAAGAGCTGGCACAAGTTTGAATCCAGTTATGCTTTCTAATAATTCATATGGAACACCAGGACACACATGTGCAATCTGGTTTGGTACACATGTTTGATGAATTGGGGTACCAATGTCAGCTTAAGTTATTGATTTGATGGGGTTTTTTGAATAACGTATTGCAGGTGATTATTGGCTGATGGTCTTTCTATGTGTATTTAGATTGTATACTTTTGTCCTGGCTATCTCCGTATTGGGAAGGTTGCAAAGGATGCAATTATTGTATGAGGAGTTTTTTCTCAGGACAAAAATATATGATTACTATTATATAACATAGGTAATGTTTTCACCCACTAAGTGCCCTCTCTGTCTTGGAGTTTATAGGTGGATGGGAGACCCGCTAGGAATACCGGGTGCTGTAGGTTTTTCTTGGTTTCCTCCCTTGCTCCATTGCCCTGCGTCCCATGGCTTGGTATGTTCTGACAGCATTTTATACATACATGTCTTGCAGTGCCTGTAATGTAGTTTTGAGCAGGGGGTTGTGGAGGGATGAAGGGTGAGTGTTGCAGTGTGAGGGGGCTTATAGCTTATGTGCTCCAGTCTCTTTTTTCGTTTCTTTGCCCCTCTCTGAACTCGGCAAAGCTCAAGCACATTGTTTCTGTGAAATGGTGACCAGAACTGTGCTGCATACTCAGGAGGAGGCCGGACCGGTGCTTTATAGAGTGGAAGAAATATGGATTTATCTCTCTTTTTTACCTGCCAGTATTCCACTATTTTTTTTTGCTGCAGCCTGGCATTGCACCCTAACTCTATAGTCTACTAGGATTCCCAAATCTTTTTTCCACCTCTGATTACCCCTGAGGAGCTCCCCTTAATGAGTGGCATGTGTATTTTATGCACCCAAATGCATAACTAACCTCATCTGCCATGTAGTTCCAACTCTTTTGTTGCCAAGGCCATCCTAGGGTTAGGGTTATCATCTGCAAACACCGAAACAGGACTTTAAATACCAACCTCAATATGGTTAAAAAATAGGAGTAACAGTACTGTGCCTATGACAGAACCGTGGGGCATGCCGTACACAACCCTAAACCAGGCAGAAAATGAGCCATTTAACAATACTCTGTGGACACGTTCCTGTAACCAGCTTTCCATGTACACAATGTTTTATCAATGCCCATAGATCATAGTTGGTAAATTTAGCGTCTATGGGGTACTGTGATGTGTTAGGGAAATCTGGTAGGGCTGCAACAGTCCCCCATGTACATGAGCGCATAATAACGGAAACAAAAGTCAGGTGCACCTACGTAGAAAAGCGACAATTGCGCTACACATGTCCAGTATCGCCGCGTGCGCTGCAGTGAGAGCAATAATTCTCCGGACATTATTCATGGCTTACTCTTGACTGATGATGTATATAAGTATATACTGTATATATGTATAATGTGGCAAGCATCTTTTTTTTGGTCACGGCCTGACAATTCAGCTCCGGGATGGGCGTTGTGGTGACAATATTTTCAATGGCATCCCTCCCACCCCTAGTGTGATCACCTGCACTGGAACGCAAGGTACTCCAATGCCCTGCGTTTCAGTGCGTTGTGAGTGTTACATTTTATGTTTGTAACAATCCATTTGTGTATTTTATTTTAAACAAAAATGTTTTTTTTTATCCAATTGATTGATTAATTGAAAAAATTATCGGCCAACTAATCGTTTATGAAAATAATCGTTAGTTGCAGCCCTAAAGTCCAGATAGACTATGTCCACTGGCCTTCCTCCATCTAAATTGCTACTCCCTCATAGAACATAATTAGGTTGGCCTGGCAGGAAGTGTCTTTCACAAATGCATGCTGGTTGTTATTTATGAAACCATTATTGCAGACAAATTCTTCAATATAGTCCCTTACCATTCCCTCTATTAATTTGCATACTATTAATGTTCAGCTGATTGGTCTGTAGTTCCCTGGTAGATATTGATTTATTACAGGTATTTATATAGCGCCGACAATGTATGCAGCGCTTTTACATGCACGCAGAGAACATGCAAACTCCATGCAGACAGTGATATCTCAACCCCTTGGTAAAACACTTGCTTTACATTCATACAACTATCCATTCAGTTGTTACTAGGGATGCACTGATATATAGGGTTAGGGTTATAATGCCGAAAGTGCCATTTTGTGGCCGATACAGCGTTTCATCCCTTCTTTCTCTCCTCCCCACTGGGCGCTGCTCTGTGTCCCAGCGGAGAGGAGACAAACTGTCACAGGCGGCTGAGCGCTGCGGGAGGAGATCGCTGTGAGCGGCCGGCGTCTCTCCTTCCCACACCCCTCAGCCTCCTGTCACAGATCAGAGGGGAGCGGTGTGGGGGCGGAGACAGCTTGCAGCGCTGTCACAGCAGGCGGAGCTCTCCTCCCCGCACCATTCGCTCAGCCTCCTGTGACAGCGTGTCAGGAAGGAGAGGGGTGATCAGTGATCGCTGAGTGTTTGTACATAATTGAGGACACAGTATGTTTACTATATCCTCAATTATGAATGAATGGGAAGTGATCTACCTCCTGTTCATTCATGATTGTGGTTATAGTAAACATACTCTGCCCTCATGTTATCAATGATCAGAGACACTCAGTATAGAGGATTCCTGGTCATTGATAACAGTCCACCAGTCAGTAAGGTGTCCTTGAAAATAAGAAAGAATTGTCTGGCTCTATCTTGGCTAAGCTCTCTAAGTACCCAGGGGTGTAAGTTATCTGGTCCTGGAAATCTATTGATATGAAGTTTTTCTGGTCTGTTTTGAACCATGAATTCTGTCAGCCACTGCGGTACATTCAGCACATTGCTATTAGCATTCCTGTTTTGTTCATTAAACCCATCTGTTTTATTAGTATAGACTGAGAAGAAGAATGTATTCAATACTTCTGTCTTCCTGTCATTTATGGTCAACTATCTATGCTCATCATTTATGGGGCCTACATGCTCTTTCCTAACCTTTTTACTGTTTCTATATTGGAAGAACATTACACTTCCAACCTGCTGTGTGTTTCAGTGTCCTGCCTGGCTGCCTTGCGGCCTGCTTCTCCCCAGAATCCTTCCTGTCGGTCTGTGTAAGCACACAACAGCCAAGCATGCTCCCAGAAGTGAGCTTCTGTGAACTGGACCTCTAGCACCTATGCCACTTTGTGCCCTCTCACTCCCTGTTCTCCACTCCAGTGGTGTCTGGAGCAGAGGTGTTAGGAAAACCCTCTCGTCATCTGGGTCTCCAACCAGGTACATGATAGTCTGTTTTTACTTTGACTGAACTTATCTGTGAGTACCGCCAAAGGCTTTGCAAGTAAAATAGCTGGAAACTGGTGTTTTGTAGTTTGGTGGGGCTAGCGCTCCAACTGACAGTGAGAAAACCGAATATGTGTAATTAGTGGTGCAACCTCTTAGTTGTGGCTGTGTGTTAGTTTGAAATAAATGAAGTCTGCTCATGCATTCTCCTGAGGTTTTCATTCCAACAGATTGAATTGCCACATA